TTTAAACTGCTTATAAAAGTGATTTTGCCGTAATAGGTCCCCTTTAAATTGTACTAGTATTAAAAAAGTAAAGAATTCCTTCCAAGCAAAAGTAAACGCAAAGGATGAGATTAGCCAAGGGGGGTTAGAGTGGTTTGAAAGTCCCACTCCCCACTGACAAAAGTCCAGAGTTTGTCCCATACATGAGCTCATTTGTCCTATTTTGAATGTTATGCCATCATAAATAGTGAAAATAATTAATTGAAAAAGGCTTTAAGACCAAGCGGAATCCTCTGTTGGCTGTCGCTTTGGTATAACTCCAGTTTAGGCTAATGCAAACAATACAAAATTATTTTTAAGTCCAACATCCAGCTGTGCAAGAAAACATAAAATCTGATGTAAGTGAAGTCATCCTTGGCTACTGTGGTGTTGTTAAATAGACAAAACATTTTACAAGTAACTTTGGCTGCATTTACACTGCAGATCTTGATGATCAATTCCGATTTTGTGACTATATCTGTTTTTTTGTTTGTTTGTTTTTTTTGCTGAACTACAACATCTTTTAAAATTGACTCGTATCCAATTGTCAGCATTTACACAGAACATGGCAAAGATGTAATGACCAGGGGAAAAAAAGATAGTTTTTTTTAACAATCGCTATGATCGTGCCTGTATTTAATGTGTTTACATGGTTTAATTTTAATTTTTTTATTTTTGACACGTTGCTTTACTATAACTTATGACAAAAAAGTTTTAATTTCACCATCTTCTTTTTATCTAGGACTGTTTAAACCAGTAGGCATCTTAATGTAATGTCCTTGGCGTGATTTATGCACGCGAGGTATGGCACAGTTTTATATTAGTTTACATAGGTTACGTGGCGGATGTTACTCTCTCTCTCTCTCCTGTTAACATGCTCAAATAATTGTGCTATATGACAATATAAAAGTGTATTTAGTCCTCATGTATGAGATTGAGGGCCCTATCATACACCGGGCGCAATGTGGCGCAAGGCGCAAGCAATTGTTGTTTGCTAGATTCAGTTTGGCGCAAGAGTCGTTTTGACGTTTTGCGCCACACTGTTTAAATAGCAAATGCATTTGCGCTCATTTGTGTGCCCATAGGAGTTCTGGTCTAAAAAGGGAGGCGTGTGGAGGTGCATTGCTGGAGCGTTGCTATTTTGAGAAACTATAAAGTCCAGCGCAGAGCGTGATAGTTGTGCGCCTCGCTTACACACTGCTTAAAACTCACAAGATGTAGAGCAATACGCAAATATCTTTACAAATTAAAAATAATTAAAATATTAAGGATATATATATATATATATATATATATATATATATATATATATATATATATATATATAGGATATAATAAGGTGGTATACGATATAAATATAAAGGATTAAAATATTACAAAACATTATTTTCTAGCCTAAATAAATATAAAAACCATACATTCATGCCTTCTTCATCTCGGGAGGTTTTTTTAGTTCATTCATAAAAATTTGCTTTTGTATAATGTTATTATTATTAGCAGCATTATTTATTATATCCATATTTATATTTGTTTTATTAAAAACGAGCTTAGATTTGCCCACCTGTCAGGTTTTAGACTATATGGGGCACAGCATGTTTATTAGGATATAACTCAGTTTTTTGACCACACTTCGTTATTATTCATTTCACTGGAATCGTTATTATTTTTCATTTATTTGTTTGGTGGAAATTAGAACTGAATTTAGAAATAGTTTTCAAACAAATCTTTGCGCTTAACAAACAAAATTAATTATTTATAGGCTAATTGATGTCTGTGTGCAAGGTTTCACTCCCTCATTCTCGCGCTGCAGATGCTCTGTTTAACTGTTTTCTTGCTAGTGTAGCGTTCAGTTTTTCCAAGTCCGTCATGTAAATAGCAAATGCGCTATGGCGCGATTCAACTCACTCTTAAAAGGAATGGGAGATGAGACTCTGATTGGTTTATTCTCAAAACACACCTATAACTCATTAAGAGAATAAGCTCAACCCTTTTAGACCATGCGCCACAGCGCTTTGCACTTTGCGCATTGGATCGTCAAAATAGAGCTGACTCTGCTGATGTCTGAAATTCTGCAATGCGTCAGACTTGTCATCATTCACTATGATTTTAAATTATGAGCAACTTGCATTGACAGGTGAAAATCCAATCTACCTGCTCATACTGCAGACATGAGGGCACAGATCCGATATATATATATATATATATATGATTAATTCCCACATATGAACAAGGTCTGATTTTGATATTCAGAGTACATCGGAATCCATGTAATTTTTTTCCTGCTTATATGTACATGGGCCATATCTGGTCTGTGCCACATGAGAGAAAAAAAATTGAGTCACAAAAACCATGCAGTGTAAATGAGGCCTTTTATTCCAAATCTTGGACCTTATTCTTAAAAACAAAAAAGGACCAATAAAAAGTTTTGAAGCACCAAAATCAGCCCATATCTGAACAACAATTTTGCTGTTGTTGTTATCCATGAATTTTTAAAATTGACAAGGGAGGCTAAAAAAATATATATATTATCCATTATTAGTATGATGTTTCAATTTTTTTATCATTCGAATGGCCAAATTCTGACTAAACTGTGGCAAGTTTGTTATTTGCATAATAAATGACAATAGGCCTCAGACTTCGTCAGACAGGACAGATTTATTTATTTTTTCTTTTCTAATGATATTATGATGTAATAAATTAGTATTTTAAAAATAAGTCTTTTCATGTTTCTTTATTTTATATCTTTAGGAAATACTTTAGGTACATCAAAAAGTGGGGTTTTGATGACCATCCGACAAGCTAATTCAGCTAAAAATAGGGCTTAAAATGTCACTAAATGCAGTATTTAACTTTTAGAGAAAAAAGAACCACCCCTTTCACCAGGCTGGCTACAGGCCAGTAAATCCTACTCTAATGTGAAGTTAAGAAAAACAAAAAAAACAGAAAGTATTTCATCAGACAGACACAATAAGTTTGGATAAAGGCATACACTAAAATACATTTTAATAAGGTCAAAAACATCTATCAATAGCAGACAACAATTAAAACAAGACAAACATAAATTCTGATATTCTGATTATATATCACTTCAATTTGAAGCTTTTAGATTTTGTAGCTAATTTGTATGATTTTTACAATCTCATTAAAAAATTTATGATTTTCTCATCTATTTAGTTTAGGGATGCAGTTTGGGGTCAACACACTGTATAAAAAAACTCCATTTAAAAACTAAACTTCTGTACAAATGAAATCCTATGAATTAGCCTATTTTCTGACAGTAGCCTACATAAAATAGTTATGTTTCCTCATGAGATTGGGCTGGATTTTCAGTTTTTTAAAAGCTGTATACTTTATAATAGTCAATATACACTACCTGACATAAGTCTTGTTGCCTATCCAAATTTTAGGAACAACAAAGAATAACTTGAATTAGTTGATCTTTTGGTATCAGAAGTGGCTTATATGAAAAGCCACTAGATTACGCTTATTTTACCGAAATAACATACCTTGGTTTTTAATTATTTAAAAAGGATTGTAAGAACTGACTTTGCTTGTCTTGTCACTTAATAGAAAATTTGGTCCCACTTTATATTGTGGCCTTAACTAATTGTACTTACACAGGAGTTAATAGTTTGTTACAATGTACTTATTGTGTAAATACATGTATTTACTGTGAACGATTGATTAAATACATGTATGTAATTACATCTGTAATAAACTTTTGTAATTACATTTGTAAATACACTGTTGACCATCCCTTACACCTTAACCCACCCCTAAACCTACCCATACCACCAAACCTGTCCATAACCCAACCTCTATCTAAACTCAAAAGTACCACAAGTGTTCTCAAAAACATTATAAACACAGTAAGTACATTGTATTTATTTTTTGATGTAAATACATAGTAGTTAAGGACACTTAATATAAAGTGGGACCGGAAATTTTGCTTGTCTTGTCACTTAATAAAAAATCAGCCAAAGGGAAGGCAAATTCAGCAAGATTACGCTCCTCATACTTTAGCCTCAAAATCAAAGTTCCTGAAAGTAAAGAAAGTCAAGGTGCTCCAGAATTAGCCCAGTCACCAGACATGAACATTATTGAGCATGTCTGTAGTTAGATGAAGGAGGAGGTATTGAAGATGAATCCAAATAATCTTGATAAAATCTGGAAGTCCTGCAAGAATGCTTTCTTTACCATTCCAGATGACTTTATTTAGTTTAGTTTAGTTATTTGAGTCATTTCAGTCCTCTAAGCTCGTGGGAGTCATACACAATATTCACTTTTTTTCACTGCACATGACTTTGTATTCTATACTGTGCATTATTCCTGTTAAGTGACAAGACTTTTGACAAAGTCAGACCTTACTGTCATAGTTAAATATTTAAAAATCAAGGCAAGATCAAATTTTATTTTGGTAAAATAAGTGTAATCTAGAGGCCTTTGCCTTTTATATAAGGCACTTCTGATAACAAATGATCAACTAGAAGTCAAGTTATTAGTTGTTGTTCCTAAAACTTGGATAGGCGACAAGTAGTGTACAAATTGTAAATCCAGAGAGAATTTGTAACAATGAAAGCAATGCTGTGAAAACACACACACAAACACACACACACACACACAAACACACACACACACACACACACACACACACACACACACACACACACACACACACACACACACACACACACACACACACACACTGGTTCTTAAATGTTAAGCACACATTGGATTGTCTATTTATGATGTGCGTAAGATGTAACAAAATCAAATGCAAAAATGCTATTTTTAAACAAAAATAAACACTTATTAGTTGAAATCAAATTTAAAGGAGTAAAAATTTGTCAAATTTTCAGAAATGTTTGAATTGTAACTAAATAAAATCTTAATTTATTCCTCAAGTACTGCAATCAAATCAAATTATTTAAAAAAATCTAAATAAAAAATATGAAATAATATAAAGAAGCAACGTCTCTCACTTAAGCTCTTCCTCCTCGATGAAGCCGCTGGCGTCCACATCCAGAGCTTTGAAGACCAACTTCACGTTGTCAGCAGACAGAGCCTTCAGTCCCACCACATCGAAGAACTTCTTGTGGTCGAAACTGTCAGCAGCTGTTTAATAGAAACACACTTCAGCTGATAGCATTAGCTAAAGAGCACGGTTTACCACAGAAAACCACCAGTTCCACTCAGTTTCTTAACCAATATGTCTTAATCCATATAAGGAAAACAATAATTAATCTCTTTAAAATGTTGCGTATAGTTAGATTTGAAGTTAGGTCCATTATATATTAACATACAATTTTATTTTAATAAAGCAAAATTAAACTAAAGTTAAGTTTTTTTATAAGCTAATTTCGAGAGGATCACATGCTTATGATCGCTTGCGGCTGGACCCGCATTATTCCATTTATGATTCACCAATCAGACAATTCCTGAGCCACTATAAATACTCTAAGTTCTAAATAACAACCATCTTCATTTTGAACGAACCCTTTCCACCCCTACTCCTCCTTTCCTAGATGAATGGGACGGTGGCTCAGTGGTAAGCACTGTTGCTTCACAGCAAGAATGTCACTGGTTCTAATTCTTACCAAGCCAGCCAAAATTTCTGTGCATAGTTAACACATTCTCCCCTTGCTCTTGTGGGTTTCCCCCGGGTTCCCTGGTTTCCTCCCACCGTCCAAAATCATGCAACTTTAGTTAACTGACTCATCCAAATCGCCACCATAGACATGCTCCTAGTAAGTAGTTATCTCTTAAGAGCAATCACTATCTGTTCATTAGCTACTACAGCAGGGGAGTTCTCGAGATCTACTTAGCTCAAACTCCCCTCTCGCCTTGCAAACGGGAGGGAACCCTGGGCTCCTGGGCCCTGGCCTCTCTCCCGGGACAGCATGCCAAACAAGCTTTATAATCAATCATCAGCAAAGTGTGAATTCCCCCCATTTTTAGCTCAGGTTAACTATTGTAAGTGTATTTTAATCTCCATATTTGCATTACCAATTTCTGTATGTTTTACTAAACTCACCTTTGAATTGATCAAGGGCTTTCTTGATATCGTCATCTTTCAAAAGGTTTTTCATGGCCATCTTGACAGCTTGAAGATTAAAAAAGAAAAAGAGAGCAAGAGATGATATATTAGGTGCTAATAACTGATATAAACGTAATGCGCCAAATATGTGTTTGTGAATCAACACTACAAAATTTCCCAAAAGGCTTTGAGCAGCACAGGACCCAGTCTGAAGACATAAAAAGGTATTTAGTCTTTTTTCTGTTTGTAGTAAAATGCTAGAAAAAAATCCAATCTAATTCATTGCATTATGAGTTTCAATACATGCATGTCAAAAACAGCACACAATGCACTTGTAGTGCAATTGTAGTCTTAAATATAACAAAGGAAGTAGGTTGTGTTTATTTTTATAACCAGGGATTGTACACTCATGTCTCTAATCCTGTGCTAATTTTATTGTGTTGTCTATGTGTTTATCTATTTAGTTTAGTCACGTCTTTTGCCACTAAAATGACTAGCCTTGCCTTTATCAAGAGTTGTTTGCATAGCAATGTGCTAAAAACTGAAATGTTATTAAAATTTAAGAATAATAAGACAACAATGTTATTTTATACCTGTTCACATGGCTTTGCATAAATTACAAAATTCTGTGTTTTGCATGCCAGGGCAGTAATGGGCGATGATATTTTTATAGTTATGCAGTTCATCATTGTTTTGGGTACCAGGTACTCGCTCATGACCATAGACTGAATACATAATAGACATGTACTCTTTGTTTTCAAAAAGTGACATTTGTATTGTTTACACAAAAATGACGTAGGTATCATTTTTCAAAACCACACGCTTCAAACATGTTTAAAAAATATGCTTTTTCAATTCCCCCACGCCCCCATAAATGTGCTTAAATAAACCATCAAAATGCATTAAAATAAATTGGTGTTGCTCGAGAAAATCTTACATGTGGATTACATTTTGCTACAAAGCTTTAGATTTACTCAATATGTAAGTCTCCAAAACCTGAACTATGGTTTATCACAAATACGTAGATGAACAAAACTGTTCTTGTCGTGATTTCAAGTTTCATGTTTAGCAATTTTGATACTTTTAAAACTTAAATTGAAATCGCAAACTGCTTTTTCCAGTAGTATCTACAAGGGGCGCTAAAGTGGCGTAATTCACCTTGGCGTTCACTTCAAAGTTTAATTAATTGAATCATACCAGTCAACCCTCCCATTTTTCCCGGGATTATCCTGTATTTTACAATTCAATCCTGATATGATCTTGTAAAGGTATTTACCGGTATTTTCAATCTTTCTATGAAGGGTGGCAATAAACATAAAAACAAAACTGCCAATATGCTAACCATACCACCAAACCACCAGGGGGTGCCCCTTGCTTTTAAATGTGATTCTGTTCTGTTCTTTCATTTTATTTAGACATGAAAACAACGGCAGGATTCCCGTCCTTTCAATTACAGGCGCCATCACCCCTCCTATGCAATCCTCAAAACAGTTTGTTCATGTATCGGTGTGTTAATGTAGTAAGAAATAGATTTCAAACAGATTCTGTACTCGTGATTTGAAAAAAAAAAATGTGGACACTCTGGGTTGGGATATCCCTTATTTTTATATTCTCATGTTGCATTTGTGCTATTTTAGAACAGTCTGATAATCCCAAATTGGGTTGATGAATTGAAATGGCAAATAACCTACTGTAGATACTGTAAATCTAAATACTGTAAGAGGGTTCGAACTCAATATATCAAACCTGATAAAGTATCAGCAAAATGATTAATATAACTCATAGGGTTGTGACGGTATGAATTTTTTACGGTATGATAATCGTCTAAAACAATACCACGGTTTGACGGTTTCGCGGTATACGGTATGTTACAAATGTTACAAAATAATAGAACAGTGAAGCAAATTAGATTTTTTCCAAATAATTTATTTTCAGTTACTATAAACAACACCACTTACAATGAACAAATAAAAAAATAAGAAAATAATAAATAATGTGTCAAAGTCCAAATAAAGTCCAAATAAACATGGTGCAAATCCTCAGTAAAAAATAGATATAAATATTTATTATACTATAAATAGTTACATAACGAAACTAGATTCAATATGGAACATCCTTAGGTTTTATGTGCCAGCATGGATATGGTTGTCTGGATATGGATTTGGATATGGTTGTCTGCAATGTCTTTTGAAAACAGCAAGAGCAGCAGTTCGTCTTTGCTGTGTCACTGTTTTGTCATGTTTCTGTGCTGCTGTGCATGCAAAAGTACTTAGTATGAGAATTATTTCATGCAAAACTTTTTTTTGCGTTTTATTTAGCCGCGCATAAATGTATGCCTATCTCTCATTCCGTGTTGTTCAAAAAGCTCATTGTTGGTCCACAAACAAAAGCGAAACCTATGCTTATTGGTTGTGATATAGCGAGTTTGAACCAATCTGGGCATGGAGGAGGGACAATGCATCAATGTATCATGTCTGGTTTGTCCGGAGACACAGTGACGAACGTTTCTTTGTCAAATCAGCGTTGTCGAATTTTGATGATGTAACCGCACTGATTCCGGAGCCTCTGAAAGTCTGCGAATGTTATGTGATACAGCACTGGAAAGCTGAGATTCTCTTATTTATGCCAATCTTTGAATTGTATGAATCGGATCAGCGGATCAAAAGTTACTAAACATTTAAGAGCAATACTTTTTTTTTAGCCGTGGGCGGCTGTCTCGGTCTTTAAGGGTTAAAACCGTTGATTTGCAATTGTTCATGGTATGATAATCGTGCACGTTCAAATCGTGGTAGACCGTCATACCGGTATATTGTTACAACCCTAATAACTCAGTACCACAAATGTTGCCAAGAAACTGATTCTCAAGTGCCAGTTTTTACTCAATTGGCAAATGGCAGTTACTATCCAAAGGTACTGATGTTGAACGAAATCCTCCTCTTGCTGTATCAGCTTACTATAAGATCCATTAGTGTCCAAGCTCAGGCAACTGCTGCAAGGAACACAAACCAACAATGAGATCTGCTGCCAAGAGAACAGATTCGATTGCTCTCATCTCAGCCTCTTCTGATTGCAAGAGTTCCTGTCGCCCGTAAATAACTTTACAGCATTCGTATGCTGCAAAGGTGGCATGCGCACAGGCATGACAGCTGTGTATGTGTTTGTATGTTTGTCTATTTAAGTTGAGGTATGTTTCATCCAAGTGTGTTGGGATGGGCTGAAAGGCCTTCAGATAAGAATGTGTTTGCCCCCTTGAGAAACTCTATCCTTCTGTAGTTCGGATACTATATATGTGCGTGAGGGAGTGAGATCACAGATTATAAAGTGAAGTGACATTTGAGGTCTCCCTTGTAATGCTAAGACAGACATCTGGCTGATTTACCTCACTTCACATATCAGGGACCAGCATTTAAAACCAGATGTTAAACTTTTCAAGTCAATAGAAAAAAGAGTAAATCCTGCTGAAATCACAAGAAATTACTTATTGCTATAGAAATTTGTTAGCTCGCTAATGCTAGCACAACAAACGTGGAGAATTCAAATGTTAAAATATATGTCATGACAGATGAGAAGGTGTTTCTTCCACTTACAGCAGGTGTTCACAGGCACCATGCAACTATTTACACAGCTGCTGCAATAGCTTCGCCAAAGAAAACTACTTGGACAAATATATATTAACCAATCAATCAATGTTTTCATGCATGCTAACAGTTAAGTTTAAGGATTTCTGACAAACAATCTCAATGTATACTACAAAAGTGCTGAGGCTTGATTTAGGGTTACACCAAAGAAACCTTCTGGAGAATTCTAAGAAGCTGTTTAAGGAACCTGCAAAACCCACAGTGTCCTTCTGGGGAATCTTGAGGCACCTTTGTGTGAAGGTTAATTCCTTGAGGAACATAAAAAACCTTATAAATTTCTTCTGGAAGTCCTCAAGACACCTTTAAATGTTGGTAAGTTATTTAAGCAACCTAAAGAGCCCCACAATTTTCTTCTGAAAATCACTGTTGTTCTGTATGATGGTTCTTTGAGGAATTTAAACAATTACAATTTACCTCAAGAAGTTCCAAAGACATTTAACCGAGATATACAATGAAGTTCCTGAAGAAGAAAACTGGGATATTTGAGTCACTTTCAAAAGGTGTCCAGAGGTTTTCCAGAGTCTTCAGCTACTGTGTAGATCTGAGGAAGTCCTTAAGTTCCCTCAAATATCTTCTACTATTTAGATGTTGCTTTTGGTTACATCTTAACCCATGCATAGTTAGAAAATAAAGACTTTTGCTGAAGTAAACAGACTAATCATCTCCTGTGATAAGAGCTTTTAAAATGATTTTAAAAATCTTAAAACAAATGGTTTGCCAAGATACCAGCCCGCAATCAAATTTCAGAAAACGCAGTATGATCTCAAGTATTTTTCACTGGAATCATTCAAAGTGAATTTCATTCATGAAGCAAATTCTTTGAGAAAACTGATTCAGACCCCGAGATTTTGTCCTCACCTGTGTGAAGGGAAAGCTTGCGGGAGAAGAGACTTGGAGAGAGAGAGAACCAGAGGTGAGAGATGGGGATCTACTCGGCGTCTTATATACTCTGGCTTACTCTATGTCTATTTCAGGATAGACTGGGTCATAACGCAACACGCAAGAGAATGAAGGATTGTGTGTGTGTGTGTGAGACAGAGAGAGATCACTTTCTTGGTGGCACTAACAAATCTAATGCTACTATTAATATTCAGGTCCCATTTGAGTTGTTGTGTCCTCTCTGTAATCCGTCTACTTCTCTCGCTTTGGCTTCTAAAGCATCGTTCCAAAGCCTAATGAACTCCCTTGCTCTCTTTATGCTGACTGGAATGGGAAATGGTGACTCATTTGAAACACCCCTACCAGGCAACTCCACATGATACAGGAGACTCAAGAGTTGATTCCAGTAAAACAATTTTTCCCATTTACAGGATTTTAGTAAAGACTTCTTTACTAACAGTGAAGAACTTACTAACAGTTTAGATAGTGTTTGGCTGGCGGCGTGCAGGAATTACATTTATTACTGAGCCAATCTTACATGCTATTTCA